AGTCTCGTGGTCTTTCTTTCCTAATTAATTAATGGAGAGGTATTGACGGCAGTACTGCAGGCTACTTCAGCTGACTGCTAGCTGCAATTTGGCAGTTCAAATCTCACCGGCTCAAGGTTGACTCAGCCTTCCTTCTTCTGAGATGGGTAAAAAGAGGACCCAGATTGTTGGAGGCAATATGCTGACTCTGTACCACTTAGAGAGGGCTGTAAAAGCACTATGAAGCGGTATATAAGTCTAAGTGCTATTGCTATTGCTATTTTCAAAGGCTATGCAAATAGCACTAGCGCTTAGACATATATCCAGAGTGCTTTACAGACTCTCTAAGCAATTTACAGAGTTAGCCAACAATCTGGGTCCTCAATTTACAAACCCAAGAAGGATGGAAGGCTGAGTCAAACTGACAGTGTGAATCGAACTGCCGGCAGCCGGCAGTCAGTAGAAGTAGCCTGCAGTACTGCATTCTAACCACTGCATTACTATGACTCATTAAATAATCATCAAATAATGCCACTAACTACATTTTCTAGAGCATTGAAAAGCAACTCTCCATCTCATAATAGTTTCACTCATAATAATGCAAGGAGAGTAATTTGAGTCTCACAGGTAATACTGACTGCATAATACCATACGCTTTCCTTAGGCCCCTGTAATCCACTTGCAAGGAATATTCAATAGCTTACTTCATAAACATCACTGTTGTCCAATGATATCACAATGTAGACATCCAGCTTCTTCCCAGTTTGTTCCACTGCAAAGTGCATGATTTCTTCCACCATAATTTCGGCCACCTCATTACTTGGCAAATGTAAATCTTTAATTCCAAGAGGAGGAAAAGCAATGGACGACAACTGCTGTTCCCCAGTCTTGGAAAGCCCTTTAGAAATGGCTGTTTTTAATACCTGCCAGAAAGAAATTCAATTATACATAAGCTGATTTTCTCCAAAATTCATACAAACGAAAAGCTGTAAAGCGAATAGGAAATAACATCACCTCTTGCCTGCTGCCTTCAATGTAAGATGGCCAAACCACATGGAGCACATGTTCACAATCGAGATTGAATCCTTTCGTGTATATGAAATTGGGTCTCTCTGATGGAAGTTTCTGTAACTCAGAGAGAAATTGTTCCTGCATAGCTGGACCTGCCTTTTCCAAAATTGCTCTTGAAACCAGTCCTTGAAAAAGACCATCTTGCACAGTCACAGAATTAATAATTATAGCAGCCTGGAAGAGAGCAATGTAAAATGTGAAACTTTTCATATCATGTTTATACAGACAAGAAATTCTATACTGTTCCATTAGCGCCAAGGAATCTTAATAATCTCCCTGTTTTCATAAGGACAGGACATATATCTACAAGAAAGGTTCAGGGATGTCTAGCAATAATTTGAGGCATACACAGAGGGAATCTCAGGATATATTCAAACAGAATATGCTGTTGAATAAATAGCAATCAATTTAACATTGGATGTGGCCCATGTATCTTCCACCTTATATAATTTTCAATAGAGTTACAACATATCAAATAGTTTTCTGCATTGGAATTAAAAAAAGATTCTTGGCATGCCATTACATCTACTAGAAACATTATAATGCACAATATTTACTTGCTGTGCTTCTATATCCCCTTTTTTGATCTGTAGGCAGAGTTCATTGACTGTGATAGAATCAGTAATACTCGACTGAGGCACAATATCATTAATCCCGATCAGGTCTTCGCAAGCCCTTTTCATGACATCAGCTGTGGTCTCATCAATGTTTACAAGGTGGATTTCTTGCAAGTAGCCAAATAATGGAGCAAGTTGAACAAAGTTCCTGATTGTCTGTACGATCACTTGAGCGCACCAATCCTGAGGAAAATTGAAGATCCCTGAACTCAGCGCAGGAATGGCCACAGACTTGATATTGTTTTCTGGAGCATTCACATATTTCAGAACATTTATTATGGCAGCTTCCAACTTGAGGCAACATTCCTCCTTCTGATCTTCTGACCACCTTGGACCCACCGCATGGATAACCTGCTTACAGGGCAATCTTCCTCCGCTGGTGACCACAATCTGGCCAGCACTGAGTGGACCATTCTTTTCAATAAAAAGTTTGCACTGCTCTTCAATTTCTGGCCCACCGGCTTTCAGGAGAGCAAATGCCAGACCTCCAAAATGGTGCAGGTATTCATTGGCTGCATTCACCAAAGCATCAGCCTCGTGTCTGGTGAGATCATCTACCCAAACGGAAACTTCCACTCCTTCCTTCAGGCTTTTCCTATATATTTCCATGGGATTCCTTATGCTCTTAAGGACACAGATACAGCCAAACTTCTTCTGAAGCAGGCTGCACAAGTAATTCTCCCTCCTCTTGAGAACTGCATAAATGCTGTTACTGATGGGAATCAATATCATTTCCTCATCCATCGGGATCCTAATTTCTAGGGAGATAAATGGAAATTAACCTTTGGCGGGTTGTGGATGTATGTACATAGATTCCCACTGTTCATTTTTGAAGATTTTCCTCCCTTCTTGGCCCAGGAAAGAAAACTACTTGCCAGTATATCATTTCTGCAGAATGCAATCTTTCCCTAACATAAATTACGTAGTGATCTTGTGACATTAAGCATTCCCATTTGTTTGCTATTGATACAAAGGAAGTCAGCTGAATGCCAGCAATGGAATTTGCACCTGGAATGAGAAGGGATGTTTGTAATGCCAAAAGCAGATGGATACTCTCTTCATATCTCATAAACAGGGAGCTGCTTAGCCCTCAAATCAATAGTCAAAAAGAGGATCAAAAATATCAAGGAGAATCAACCTTAATGTACTTGCTGATAAAATGGGGAGCTAGGTACAGATATTTTAGATTGCAAATATTCTATAACCGATTCCCTTTTTCCTCACAACACTATTGTTGTGCCTGTTGACATTTTCTGAGATCCTAGCTTTCTTGATTACAGAGATTGAGACACCCTAACAAAATGGTACAAAACTGCTTAACAGCTATATTAGCATTACATCATATGTAAATTAGAAATCTAGAAGAAAAGCAATTATGGATACATTTGGGGCTCTGCTTATATTTGGCAGTACATGCATGATGTTGTACATACAACTTGATGATGCAGGATGGAAATTTTTAGTATGAGAATCTTTAGTACATAAACCCTGAGAGAAATTATAAGGAACCTCAGTGGAAATTTATGACTAAAGGAAACAAAGACTACTGTATTTACCTGCATTGGCCTTTTTAGTAGTCTCAGAACTGGAAGTCTGTGAAAATAATAGCAGAGCAATAAGAATAGACTTTCCTAACAACTAAACTACAGCCATTGACGTTAATGTTTATGAATGTGATCCTTATTTGCAAATGCCCAGTTTAATAATTTCTCTTCTGAAACACTAAAAGGAGACAAAGATTTTAATCCATTATGCTATACAAACCATAAGCTAAATTAACATATTTATTTATAAGTAACCCTTATTGAAATTAATGAGATTTATTTTCTTA